GAAAACACACTGAAACAATCTGCTCTGAGAATCAGAGTCTGGAATCACCTTCACACATTAACAGGTTGTGTGTGCGTGCATGTGTATCACGGATCATTTTGTTTTTTTAATTCTTCTTTACTGTGTCATCTGTGGAATATTTGTAGTTGATTCTCGGCACAAATGACTGTGTTGGACTTTAGACTAACACAGTGATCAGACGACGACTGTTTTCATTTGTTATGACTGTTGCTGTGTCAGATCAGTCAAATAACACAGCCATAAAATAATGCTACGGTATGACTAACAGACATGACAGACTGCACGAAGGTTCCCAACATGACCTGGTATTAAACAGAGATGATGGAGCAGCAGCAGTTCATACAGTACTAGGCTCACAGCAGGAGCCTTATTGCTTCTTTTCCATTTTTAAAATTTTAGTTTTTACTAAATGCTACAGTGATATTAATTCTGCCTGCCATACATAAGCTTCTAAGTTCAATTTCTATTTGCCCCTAAATTCAGGATGGATGTGTCCTCTTCATTGCAGCTTTTTACAATAACAAGATAATAATAGACAACACAACAACAACAACAACAACATTATTCATTTATTTGTGGGGCTTTTTAAGGACTTTGCACAAAAAAAAACAGAAATAGAACATGGAGCAAAAAAAGTAGAACAATACAAAATTAAAATACATTTTCAGTCACAAACGGTCGCATTTTATTTATTTACTTATTTATTTACTTACTATTTTTCTGCGTATTTTTTGTATAACGTATTACTGGGAGAAATGTTAATAAATAATAAATAAAATTCGGAAGTACGGACGTGGAAGAGCCACGACGGAAATCAGAAGACCATCAGCGGAAATAAGGAAAAAAACATGGACAACGTACACAAACAAACATTTCTGGCAGTGCGTGGTTTTCGTGAGTGAAGGCCGCAGTTTACACAACGACAGTCTGCAGTTTAACGTCACGGTGAGTTTTCATTTTCATGCAGTTGATGTAAATGTTGTTTATGTGGCGTGTTTGCGTGTTTTTGCACTCTTTGTTTTAGATAAAACCGGTGTGTGGTGCAAGAAAGTTTGGAGACTTGAATTGTGACACACCTGTCATTATGTGTGGTATTTATTTAAACCTTTTTTTAGTAGGAGTTTGTTGACAGTGCTGGGTTTGGAATTGACTGCACAGATAGTGCAGTCCTCAATGTTTGTTTGTTTGTTTGTTTTTGTTTTTGTATAGTAACTGTCAATCACCGTGTACTCCACCATGTTGTTGTTGATATTATTATTATTATTATTATTATCAATGTTTAATGTCCTTTGCTTGTTATTCCATGTTTTAGACGTTTTTTTTCACTGTCCATTGTTGTTTGGCCCAGTTGCCTTGACTTACAATGAATCCAAACATTTGTAAACATGTAAACAAATGTCAGAGCAACTGAAACTTGGCAACAAAAGGAGCATTTATGGAAACTGTAGGTTCAGTGTTATTGAAGGTGGCTGATGTATTTTGTCGTTAAATGTGATTTTTAAAGGGAAAGGAGGAGAAAGTCTGTGAAGTTCTCCAGTTGTTGTCAAAGTAATGCTCTTGCCTGCAGTGATTTGGTCTGAGGGTTGCTCATATTGTCATATGTTTTCATATGTTTACAGCCAATATACCTGGAAGCTGTTTCTGATGGTATAACATTAGTGTAAACTAGTTTATCTCACCTTATTGACTATTATATGAAAAAACATAAACAGAACTCTACAGCGCCCCACAGTGGAGGAGTAGTTGATCCTCTCAATCGCCCTGAGTGTGTTTGTTGATGTGCAGAATGTTCTCCAGGTTAACTATTAATGTTAGTGTGAATGTGGCTGCATTAATGTGTCGTCTGTAGTGCGTCACAACATTCTCCACGTGTTCAGTCAGAGGCAGCCCAATGGCAGTTGACTTTGGTTGGTGAGTTTGCAGGACTTTGACGTAAAAACAGGTTAATTATTATGGTGTTTGCAGTGATGGAGAATGAAGACATTCCCTTAAAAAGAACAGGAAGACCTCAGTCGTGCATTGATTGAACAAGCCAAGCTGTTTATTTACAATCATACACAGGTAGTAAGTGTGGCCCATCAGTGTTTCCTAACAGAGAATCCAAAGGAACAGCTAAATCTTTGGGTTTTCATGAAATCACAACAAAAGCGTAGTGTCATTCTTGTCATTTCTGATCACAACATTTGGTCCGGACCAAATCAAGTTCAAATCAAAGACTAGTAAATAAATAATTCAGTGTTTAGGTAGACTTGTTTCATGTTAATTTGATTGCTTCTCACTACTTGGTATTGTTTTAGTTATATAAAAAGGAATTCATGCCAAAAATAAAAGGAATATTATAACAACGCCATGTTATCAGTTGGTCACATTGGCACAGCTTTTTCCAGCAAAACCCCCTCGCTTATTTTTTAAAATATCAAATCAAATACTGATTCACGTTGAATTTTTTTTTTTTTTCCTTAAACATTACAATTGTCCTCAATGTTCAGCATCAGTTGAAGACCAATGTCCTCCTGTGGACTTTATGTTTTGATTAAGGACACTTCAGCAGGTAAATATTTATGGCACAGGGTTTTGAAGCACATCCACCAGATAAGGCTCAATCTCTCCCTACAACCACAGCCCCTTGTTGTTCACTCTCACCCCTGGTTGATGGCGTATTTGTCATGGACAAATTGTAATGCCTATCATAGCACTGTAAATGTGCCAGCAATACACTCTAACATAGAGCACAAGAAATTCAACACTGATACAAAGTGGGTCTGGTCTGCAGGAATCCATGGCAAGCATTAAACTGGTAGAAAATAAAAGGAATACTTCAGTGAACAGAGGAACGTCCAGGTCTTTCCTGCAAGAACCTGTGTAAAAACAATCATGCCGACCGCTGTGGCTAGAAAATTACAGAAAACTTTAGAAAATGAATCAGAGGTACATCCAAGTGACTTTTTTTTTTTTAAGTTTTTGAGTTCCCAAGTGTATTAATAGTCATAACAAAATTGTTCACGGTCAACCCACGTCCCACAGTATTTAGAAAAAGTGCACTTTGATGCTGATGACGTAGAAAAGATGAAGAACAGTCCAGGCAGAAACCGGCCTTTTCAAAGGCTTTTGTTTAAACTGTATCCTGGTCTGGAGGCAACCCATCATTCCACAGTTTATACAAAGGAAACGAATGATGAGAGATGTCATAAGGAATAAGAAAAAAATCTCATGTTAGGTAAAAAAAACAGTCAAGATTAAAATACGACGATGGAATGAAAATATACAAAGATATAGAGATGATGAACCCTTTCTGTCGCGTCCTTGTAGTGATTATGAAAAGCAAAAAATATGGTGTTGAGTCTGTGAAAATGTGAGTCCCTTTGGCTGATTCCTTGTCTCTGAGAGGAAGGAGGTTGTTGTTCATGATGTCTGGCTGCAGCTGAGTCACAACCAGTGGTACCTTCAAGCTGTCAGCTGGTGACAGGGACAGAGGTGAGAGGATGAAGGTTAAATCAGGAGGAGAACCAGCTGGCCGACCCCCTGATGGGTCACTAATGCTAGGAGGCCTGCAGCAGGCGTCTGTAGTGGGGCATGATCTCGTGTTCAGGCAGGTGCAGGTTGAACTCCAGTGCGACCAGGACAGGGAACTCGAAGGCGATCAGCTCTCGGCGATTGACTCTGAACCTTTCCTCCAGTTTCTGCCAAGAACAGTGATGACGAGAAACAAACAATGGTTAATTTTAATACTTTATTAATAATGACTCATGACCACACCCAGTTATGGTTAAACCATCATTGCAGTTGGACTGGTTCCTTACAGAGAAGACAAGTTGGACAGTTTAATAATAACCAGGGCTGTTAGAATGTCAGACTTGAACTGAAGATGATGTGAATGTAGTGAGACTTGACTGTTGTTTTAGTTTAATTGTTCATTCTGGTTTGGTTCACAGGTGTGAATGTGAGTGGAAAATGTGTCTTATATACAGTATATGTGTGTGTGTATGTATATACATATAAATATATACTCTTTCTAAATCCTTACATCGATCAGCAGCTTGACTTCATGTTTCTTCAGATCACCACCAATCTTTGCTGCCAGAAGGACACAGGCTCCAGCGCAGAGTTTACGATTCTGTTTGTTCAGTTTGCCTTGAAGAACAAGTTTTTCAAAGTAGACAAAAGCCATGGCCACTGTGGGCTCCTCGTAACCACATTCATCCTGAGCCAGTTTTCTTATCTCCCTTTTCAAGCTGCACAGACAAACAGAGTGAGTAAAGATAAGCAGAAGAAAGTTGAACCAGAGAAAACAATAATAACACCACGAAGATTTCTTCTGACATAAAACCTGAAAAGTCTTCACAGGAGTTTTACCTTCTTATCTTGCTCAGTGTCAGTCTTATGTGGGGGAATTTCTCCTTGAAGGTTTCGTTCATGTCCTTCTTCAGGTCGGATGGCTTGACGTATTCAATGACCGTCGTCTGAAAAGCAAAACCACAGGTGGTGTCAGGATGACCCCACGTTCAGCCCTGGGGAACACCACTGGATCCTCATGTTAGTGTTGGATTCCCCCGTCTCACAGTGACACACTGGTGTTGCCCATGAGTTTTCACAGGTACTGTAAAACCCAGAGCTAACATTTCCATGTGTATCTAAGCCCCACCCTGTCTTTTAATAGTAAAATATATATTTGCTACATTTCAGATGCTATTTGTCATAGTTATATTTATGTATAGTAATATTTTTAATTTTCAGACATGTATATGGATACTTTAATTGGGACAAATGTTAAATTAAACCTTGAGAACAAAAGTATATTTACACAGAACAAAAAACAAACAATCTGAGCCAAAATGTTTCCTAAATGACACAGTGAGGTCAGTGAAGTTCCCGTCATCCCCTGTGTGAACTTAAAAAGCTCTGCTGGAGCCATGTCTCCTGAGTGGCCTGTGTTCAACCCCTGAAATGCTGACAACTTACTGTTTCCATTCCTGGAGCAAATACAATAGCTATTGTTGAGAGATGCTGGCTGTTGTGTTTGGAGGAAGACAGCAGGAAAAAAAGCACAGACCGGCCTTGACTGAATATTTCAACTATGTCACTCCTGGTCCGGTATTCTGCCAGTCTTCATAACAAAAACAGAGCCCAGGAAATAATGAGGTGGAGTATTTTTTTTTTCATTCTTTCAGCTAAAATAAACATCCGTTCTTTTCCTCGCTGTGTTTTATTGCTACAGCAGTGTGATATCATGAAGTGAGAAGGTCTTTTAAGGAATTCAGGAAAATCAACTGTTGCAGGAATTAAGCAGTCTTCCAGGCGCCAAAGGTGGGGGTACAGCCCGGCCCTGTGACCTTCCTGATTAAACCGGTCTGAAAAATCTCCTCTCTGCCTTTGAAAATGGCTGATAAAATTAAGGAGGGCATTTTAGACGTGAACTCTAGCCAAATAAGTCTCTGTGTGTGTGTGCTGTTATTGTTGAAAGTTGTGGTGGGAAACTGGGCACAAAAGAGATTCTGTGAGACACTGCATTAAAAATGCCAAAACAGAAGTGGATCTATTTCAGAGAAACGATGTCCTGGATTAGAGCAAACTTTCCATTCTGGTCTCAAGAGTACAATGCTGCAGTATCTAGTGATGCTGCCGTTGTTTTTGTTGTTGCTGATGATGAAATGCTGGATGCAGCTAGGCTGTTTTCTCACCATATACGAGGGGAAGATGAGGACTCTCTTGTGTTTTCCACAGGGCCACTGAGGATCATCCAGCAGATTAGGGTCGTACTCCCGGAGCTCCCCAAAGTCATTCCCTGAACAAATAGAACAACTGAGGTTGAGAAAGCAGGGAAAAAACAAAAACTAATTTGATTCCAGTAAGGTACACGCCACAGTAATAAACCACAGAATCGAACAATAACCCTGAGTCATATGTAATGGATCACTAGCAGTGTATGGTAGCATTTTCATCTGCAGGCCAGCCGTGCGAGTGTTGGGCGGTTACATACCTGTGTCCATGCTGCTCTGGTTGCTGTTGGCCCGGCCCAGGCTGAGGCTGCGATGGCTGGCGTTACGGGACTGGGAGAAGGAGGAGGTGGAGTCGATGGTGTTTCTCCGACCACCCAGAACATTGGTGGGGTACAAGAACTGGGTGTAGGACACAGTCTGCAGACACAGGTAAACAAAATCTGCTTTAAACTGAGGTTGAAAAGATCGTTGTTGTTGTTGTTGTTGGAGGTGGTGGTTGTCTTGCTTTGTTTTTCAGATAAAGTGGTTTATGATGTAAATCAAAGAACGTTGGCACAGAAGTTCATAAAGGTCAGAACCAACACCTACAATAATGGCTTACTTCAGTGGTTCTAAAGCCATGGTACATGAACCACTAATGGAACGGAGGTTATCTCTAGTGGTACACAAGAAGAATCAGAATTTTTTTTAAATTGTAATGGCATATGTAGAGGTACATCATATTAAATGTACTTGGGCATTCTGTCAGAGTCAACATTAATTGACACAAAATGAGTCTCCTGGGTCTTTTAAATAAACTGACTCGACCCACGACACTTTATATTTCCACTGTAGACCAGCTGATCAAATTTCACCTTTCATATCTGCTGCGTTCTCACCTTTCCATCTGCTCCTAACTCCACTCCCTCCAGTCCGATCACCATCTCCTTGGCACTGATGCTGCCCGACGGGTGTCGCTGTCGCCCACCTTCCAGCTTTACATCCCTGACGACGAGCACATGACACCTTGTTTTTTATGACAGTAATAATACCGTGCCTTTGACATTTGCTCACATGGATTGACTGCAGTGTGCTGTAGCCCTTCACCTCATTGCTGCGCAGCTAAAAGGCCTCAGTATTGATTTGCCCTAGTTTCTGTAATTGCCTGTCTATGGGAACATGCTAGGGCAATCAGAAAAAAAGGTACACCCATGAGAGAAGCGACGTGTTTCTACTTGAAAACACTTGACCAATGCAAAAGGAGCCGGGGTGGTGCGGAACGTCATGATGTTCTGCTGAGGTCAGGAGGAGATGACGAGAGAGAAAAGAGAGCAGAGGAGCAAACAGAAGAAGAAGTAGCTCAAATATTTCGTTTTTATTGACGGTGGCCCAAATGAAAACAGCCATGAAATGACATTGAAACAGTGTCTCAATGTGATTAAACCTCCACCCAAACTGTAAATTATACTAATGTAAGCAAACAAAAGGAGGGCCATTCATTTTGCTCCTTCAAATTTGTCCTTAAAATGTCTCTAGAAAATGGAACAAAAAAAACACCCATAATAAAATTATCAAAATGATGTTTACGGTGCAGAACTGAAGAGGATAAAATGGGCTGAAGTCAAAATAAAGTCAAACACCAGTTTCCTTCTATTTAAACAGGGCACTGATTTACAGAGAGGAGTGACGCAGCGGCTCCTCACATGACTAGCCCCCTGTTGTAGTGACGTGTGTCTGAGCTCCCATAATGAAAACAGTGTTATCTGGCAGACACCAGGACGAATGATCACGAACGCACCGTAGATATAGGCAGGCGTTTTTAAAGCACAGCGGGGAAAATAATAAGTGGGAGAGCAGACGGGAGTGTTCGTGTGCAGCTAAATTCTTAAAAAAGAACTGGAGAGGGAAAAGCTTTCATTGCAAAGTGAACTACACGATTAGGAATGACTGGCTTTAAACCCCTATGTGTTTGTCGTTCTACAATACTATAGTATATAAGCCACGCTACGGCAGTTAAATGCTGATAGTGCTTTCTGACACTGCTGTTTCAGATACCACTGTTTCTGAAAATGAATGCTATTGTATTGAAAATCTGTCACTTTTTTTGTAACCAAAGATCACGTGCCTGTGTCAGTAGCATTGCCTAACATGCAGGTTTTTGTTTTTTAGGGTTTGGAAAATCTTGAGTACGTGCTAGTACAAGGAGAACATGCACATAGAACAAGGAAACATGCCAGGAGACCGTGGAAGCCTGCTTAGAAAGTAAGAGCTTCTCTAACAAATTAAATATCTAAAATCTGTTTCCTGCAGTGTAGCTGAAGCTTTGCTCTTTGTTTGGGTCCTGGTGTGAAAAAATAACGTTTTTGTCTGAACTGATTTCTTATGAAAGGAATACTGTTAGTTTTACTTGTGCTTCCATCTACCGGCAGTTGACGGTTTACTGTGTTCAGATTTAAATTACACTTCGCCGTACACACCACCAGCAAGTCAGTCGCTCTTTATTTAAAAAAAAAAAACACCACACAACAAATCATTGATTAGTTACTCAAAAAAAAAAACACCCCACAAAAAATCATTGATTAGTTACTCGATTAATTAGAAACTTTACTTAAACAGTGATTATTAGGTTAAAAAAAGAAAAGACAAACTGTCAAAAAAAAAAAGGCCACTACTTACACTGTCCTCTGTTTGTACAAAAGTCTTTCCACAAATGTTTCCAGATAATATTCCTGTCGCTCTGATTAATGTGAAGGTGTCGACAGGCTGCCAGAAAATGTGGGAAGCAGATGCCTTTGCCCAGTTACAAATGTTAAAAATTGTCGTGTTCCATCCTGTCTGTGTAATAAGTGCCTGACTTAGGCATAACAATAACAACGTTTGGTTTTGTGGCGTTAATATTTGCCCCACGAAATACTTTTAGTGTATCCCACTGCAGGTACACATTCAGTGCTTACGCATGGTATTCTAGGCTAATCTGGATATTCAGAGCTCTTCGGGGTAAAATGTAGTGTGTTTTTTAAAATTTAAATTGAAGATTCACTAAAGAGAAAAAAGGACATAAAAAAGGGGAATGAAGAGTCGCATGCTTTGAGGGTTTCGCGTTAATGACAGTTTAATGCTAACCTCTCAATTAGAAGCAGTATATTGAATAACACTACGGAGTTTATTAACCCTTGACCTTCACTGAGTGGCTGGATTAGGCAATTCCACAAACAGACTGAACAGGTTTTATCCTTCTCTATCCCCTGCTGTTTTTTGTTCCATGGTATTTGTCTCTTTTCTCTTCCTCCAAAACACTCCATTCAATAAGACTGAGGGGAGGGGGGGGCACCAGAACCAAGGCCATGCAAGTGCAGTAACCAAACAAACAACAGGGGGAGTCGAATACTCTTGTTTGTTTTGTCAAAAATAAATAAAACTCTTTATCTAGGCATAGAAAAAGGTAAAACTGTTGATAAAAACGTCCGTAACTGTGACACACAACAGATGTTTCCATCTGCAGGACTCGTAGATGATTAGCTCACAGCAGCAGCCGGCTAGAAGTAAAGGTCAAAATTTCAACATCTTGGGACAGAAGGAACCCCTCGGGAGGCTGCGTCTCAAATGCTAGACAGCAAAGCTAGCCAAACAAACAGAATGAGTGCCCAAAAGCCACTGGAGCAGTCATGGAAAGAAAGCATAACAAGCCACGAATGTTAAGCTGCGATGTGATCTAGTTAAAGACAAATCAAACAGCGAAAGCACCCTTTTATTCCAATTTCTCCTATTGTTAAGGTAAAAATGCATCCACCAAAACCAGTCTCCAGTGATGTAAGGTATGCAACAGCCACAGGAGAGTTTACCCAAAGGAAAGGGGATGAGGAAACATAAAGGAGGAGGGAGCACAGGCTGGAAGTGACAAAGTTCGGCATGCTGTCGGATACATACCCTGTTTGGCTACAATCTCGATAGGGCAGGACAGAAAATACACTATAGAAGGATCTTCTGCCACTGATAAGGACTATCCTAAAAAAAAAAAAAATGGCAAACAGGCTAATCAATGACTATCCGATAAGATCCACAGGTTAAAGTTGGAAAAAAAAGTGTGCAATAAAAACCTGAAATGAAGAGAATGAATTGAAAAGTCAATATAGTGTTTAGTGTCAGTGGTTCCAGGGCTGAAATATGTTTTTATAATGTACGTAGATATAGACAAAGGCTGCATCAGACAGTTAACAGCTAAACAGGTCGTATTGTCATATATTGAGTTTGAAATGTTGTTGTAGTTTAGAGGTGATGACATTTGGACTGATGTCCCGTTTCTTATTGACAGCCTTTTACTGATGTGTGCAGGAATACTACTGCAAACATGTGTGACTCAATATTTAAATTCAAAGTTGATTTGAATGAGTTAGATAACTCTGTAAGGACACCATGGTGTGAATGGGCAGGACTGGCCAACTCAATGGGCTGTGTAACGTGAGCTACATCCAAACTGCTCCTCATTGACTGGGGCATCCTGCCATCACACACTTGAAGACTTGTTTTGACTGTGGGACGGGGCTGTTTGCCTTCATACCTTCCGTTGCGCATATCATGTTGCCTTATATTCTTTATGAAGTGGACTTTCTTGAAGCTCTTTGGTCGGGGGGAACCAGATAGGGTCCGGCATCTGAAAAAACAAAGCAGACATCATCAGCACTTACTTACTTCAAAAAACACACTACGTTTCATGGAGTAGAGACAAAAATCAATAAAAGCAGGGGGGGTGTTAAAGGGTTCTAACAGTACCTGCGTAAAGGAGCATTTTCCTCAATATCCTCTAGTGTTTCCAGCGAAGACCGCTGTGAGATGAGTCTTCGTCTGAAAACACAGTGAGCGAGGAAGTTTAGAAAAATCTATACTGACAAAATATAATGTTGTAGGCACTAAAACACAACTCTGGGGACAATGCAATAATTAGTTGTTGTTTTTTTTTTAGCTTTTTTCTCTGCTATGGGTTTACACAGGGGCAGCCTGCATAGTTATATGGCATAGTTTAACTAGCTGCGCATTCTGACGTTTGGGGGTTGGGATTTCACAGTGGTAGGTGGAACTGAACTTAGAGCTACTGCCCTGCAGCAGAGGTCAGGGGGAATCTGACCCCTGTGCCAGCAGTTTAATAAGTACTTACAGAAAGTCTGCAGCTTCTTAATGTCTGAGCTACAGTCAATAAGATGATGTTTGATTTTTGGACAGGAAGCTAAACTCTTGCATCTAAAAATAACTGTTTTGTCTGACACCTTTGCTGTGTGAAGTACTTTACCTTTTGTTTCCCCTTCAAAAAGGTCTGCCGAGAGAAGACCAGTATAATTAATTTCTTAAGTGGCTGAAATGTGATTTTTATCAGTTCCCCCATTGTTGTCCTCAACTATTCCTTTAATGCTATCAACCCTGTTCTGTTAAAGTACAATCCCAGTACAATGGGTTTGGACAGCAGTGGTGTTTAATTACCTCCCACTGCTCTGTGTTCTGTGGTTGATTTGCACCAATAAGATTGAAGCTGTTAGGAGTTATGGCATCAATCAACACCACAGCGTGGCCAGTGATCACTTCATATTCTTTGCCTGGATCACAGAGAATATTCTGGGATCTAAGGCTGCTAAGAGGATAACCAACAGGCTGCCGCTACGAGAGCTCTGTGTAACACATTTCTTTCACAGATGGCCTTTATTCCCACCTCTCCACGGGCTAATTCTGCCCAAACACTTTTAAATGATCGGCTGCCAGTATCAGAAACAATGCCACATGTGACACAGTCGCCGTGTGTGTGTGTGTGTGGACTGTGAAGTGAGACTGAGCTGTTCCAAAATTAGGTTGTAATTGCATAATTATTACCAGAATAACAACGTAGCCTGCCTTCTTACTGTGTCCAACAACGCGGACACAAACTTGTGGTAATTTCTTCTTGCTCGAATAATAAATACACAGCACACAAGGAGGCTTATCTGTCAACAAGTACATATCAGCTCTGCAGCTGTGTGACAAGTCGGCCAAACCCAGTAACTGACTCTTCACATCATCAATATTGTACAGAGCGTGTATCGGGTTCGACAAATAAATAATCACCACATATCAAAGCATGTTAAAGTCCATGTTTTATAGTCAGTTTGTGGGTGTTATTAAAATATTATTAGAATATATTTTAATCAAATGATCGCAATGAAAAAAAAAAGGATTAGCCTGTCCTTTTTACAGTTGTTCCACCTCCAGACCTCAGAGCAACCTTTAGCACCATCACTACTTCAGGAAAAGTCATTTGTGAATAACTTGTTTGTACTGTAGTGTGAGATTTTATTTCCTTTACTGGAGGCTCATAATTATCTGCTCCTACTGGTTGATGTTGATATTATTACCAGTCATTTTAATTTTTAAGAAATTACGAACATTTTATGACCAAGTGTGCTAACTGGTGCCTCTTCACGTTGACTCAGCAGTTTTCTTGGTACTCCAAGTCGTTGATAAATGACCTTGTTTTTTTGACCCTTTTCTTCACAAAATGTTTTATCTAAGCAGGTTTAGCAAATTGCTGAATGAATCATAGGAAACATTTAGGACCAGCAACAACATTTGGCTGATTTTTAGCTCCTGGGGTGATGGCCTGTTGTGGCCCAGGAGTATGATGTCAGGAGACCATAAAAACTGGAGGCTGTCTGCTTAGTGCATGGACGACTTGTTGCTGCAAGCTGCAGCATGAAAACAAGGTGATGACATTTATCCTGACCTCTGGCCCTCTCCAGTAATCCTCTCAGCCAGTAGGAGAGATGGCAGAGTGGTCAGTTAATAAACAACAGAGCATGAGGTCCAGATTAACAAAAGATGACTCGGTGCTTGAGCGTCTCCCAGGGTTTAAGCAAACACAGGCTGCATGGTGGAGGAGATGTACTGAGATAGGTATTTACACTACGTGAAGAGTCCGACTGGAAGCGACGGGCCATGGCTTTGTCTTGACCACACTTATCACCGTAACGATCATGAACTGTAGGAAGGACAAAGAAGCCGCTTTTAAGACATCTGAGCAGTAAAAATAAACCGTGAAGCGGTCGTAATTAAGGAGACTGACGTCTGCTCGCTGAAAGTCGCTGTGAAATCGTGATTCGTGGTCAGTCGTACAGAAAAACACTGTCCTCCTGCAGTGACAGTGATGAGTGACTTGACTGGATAAGGACTTATAAATGCAGATAGGAAAATAAACAGGCCTTCTGCTGCTTTGAAGACTCATGAGAATCCCAGTAGTGTATTATTCTGATGTGTATTGGATAATGCTGCTGACAATGGTAGTGTTTACTATTAAGAGTCATTTTCAAAACCTACTATTAGACTGGAGTCGATCCAGAGCTGCACTAATGAATATCTCAGTCAGGTGACTAGGACAAGTGTATTTAAACCTGATACTGTAAGGTGTGACTAAAGAAAATATCATAACAACACTGATAAAACAAGTGTATTTAAACCTGATACTGTAAACACTGATAAAACAAAATCCTATGTTGTCATATATCGTATTAATCTTTTTGTCTCTTTTTTTTTTTTTAATTAATCCAGTTGAAAGATTTTTTGGAAATGTATTGATAATGTCTCTGCAGCATTTCATAAAGACCTCCCTCTAACTGTTTCTCATATATGTCATTATGTATGCCTGCAGTGGCCTCCTTGTCACACATTATGGATTTTCCTGTCCAAACGTCAGTGAATCATTGAATCATCACCAAAAAGTGACTTTCACCACTAAAGGACTAAAGGTCATTTTTCCACTTCAATCCAGCGACCGCACTGGACTGTGGTTTTAATGCAAAATGATGTTTTCCTGGCTGCAAACTAGCTGTGGAAACAATAACACAATAACAGACTGGGCCACTCATTCACGGTGGAGACGTAACGCCAACCATAGTGTGACATTAACAAGGCTTTTGTCAGAGGCTTTACTGGAGCCTCAACATAAATTACAACAAAGATCCAAAAACAATCGTCAGTCAGAGTCTCTGAAACAGTTCCTGCCTTTGTTGCCTTCAAGTGACTTCTAATGCATTTAACTACATTCCCACAGCATCGGGCCATTTAACTGGAGGCACCAGACATAAAATATCACAAACAGAAAACCAGTTAGTAACCATGCCCAGTGGTACAATGCAATAAAGCCTGGGTGGATGTGAAGACTGAACCATTTCCCAATCATATGACTTATTTTTTCCCAAAGTTAACGGAAATGATTTAAAGGGGTAGTGTGCGGTTTAATTCAATTGTTACAGTATTTGGTGTTTGTCAGCATTAACTGCGTTGTTCCCATTGCTGGCCTGTTGGTGGGGCTTGGTATCAGAGGACCAGGGTTTGAATCCCACATTGGGCCCCAATCCTGGGGAAACGGTTGATGGCTTAGATGCAGAGGACAAATTTGGTTTTGTGTAAGACACATAGCACGTAGTATGCTATCTGTGCTAGCATTCAGCTTGTTAGCCTTTTTCTAGCAGTCTGCTAGCATTTGATGCATGAGTGGTTGCAAGTCTACGCCATGGCTAGGATAGGCTAGCTCTGCTAACACCTTTGGTCTCGCTACTTTTTGGAGGTTTTCTGGCAAATCTGAATAGTAGATAGAAACCCTGCAGATACTAATAGCACCAAATACTGTGTTTTCTGTGACCTTAAAAAAAAATCCATATCCTTTAATAGGCAGTTATTGCCTAACCCGAGTTGTGCCACTAGGAACAACATCAACACCATCCCATTAGTATGTGTCACTGCATGAGCATGTTAATGAATTGTGTGGCTGCAGTTATTGCTGCCTCATTCTGAAAGAATCTGTGGAGGATATGAAGCTACATTTCGTAAAGTGCTTGGAACCAAACTAAAAAAGACTCGAAAGATGTCGACTGTCTGCGTTATGTTGCTCAACACCTCCAAAGGGACAAGGCCAGATGGTATGAGGCATGTTATATTTGGCACGCTTATTCTAGTTGGATGAACACCGAGGAGTGGAAGGAGGTGAATAAGAAAATATACAGTCATTATCATGCAGTACGTCCTGACTGGGATATGGTCTAGAGCAGTTCTGGCCTTAAAGTCTGCTCTGGCGGCAGATCAGAGGCTCTGGAACTTCCTGAATAGGAGTAAGACTGTAGGCCAAAGGAGTCTGAGGGGAGAGAGTGTCTCTTATGCCCCAGGGAGGAAGTGAAGGACAGAAAACACGGAGCTGGGAGCCAGGCTGCTTCTCAGAAAGCCTGGGCATCCTGCCTGTGCAAGCCAGGGACTTCTGGACACGTTTCCACCAGCTGCCCTCGGAAAACAAACCAGGCAGTGTGCAGCGCAGCGCTTGTCTGGCTGTGCAGCAGTGGAATATGGCTGTGCTGAATCAACAGTTTGCTTCCGAGCATTAAAGGGAGTTAAATTTTGGTGCAAATGCCCTGCAAAAATTGTAGTTGTAATTTGTTACAGGAAGCAACTGTCCCTGGTTCTAAATTATTCATGGGCTTAAATGCTAAAAAAGGAAGGAAACTGAGGGTTTTAATAACACCGTTAGTGGACAAACATATCATTTGCGTGTAAACCACACGGATTGACTGTTCACTGCCACGACTGTACAAACCACCCATCTAAACAAACACTCTGAACATGATCTTGACCTGGGAAGGATGAATTGGTCAACAGGTCTGTTCAGTATTTGATCTGCAGCCATCTCTTATGTAACATTCTCCATTCTCTGCACATCAGGTTTAATTGGCTATCATTTAATTATAGGTTGTCAAATTACCACCATGTTAATGTTTAAAGCAATGGAACAATCACTTTATGTAACTTAAAACTAAAAACAGACGACTGTGTCCAATGTCATCAAAACTACTAAACTATAAAATCAATAAATATTTAACAGCGTATATTATATATTACAGTAAAACCTAGAGTTGTATAAATCTCATGTTTCAACCAGAAGTTGACCAGAAGCGGTCGCTGTATTCAGAGAGCCGCGTCATTTAAAAGTCGTAGTTGGACACAGTCAGTGGGTGGGGTGATTTAGAAAGATAAAAGCCGGGCTAGTAAGTCAGGTCAGGCTGCTTCGACGGCTCCAGGAGCAAGAAGCTGTCACAGTTGATCATCACTGGGCCGAAGAACAAAGTTACCCTCGCACTGCAGGGGTTTCTTTGCTCTGTTCTCCGCTAAAGCTGTGGATAGAATACAAGATTCTTTGCCAGATTCTGCCCACAATTCCCAGTCGGGGAGGGTCTGCACCGGTCTGGACCAGATTGTATCAAAAATCTGGTGCAGTGTGAGGAGAAGATAACCAACTTGATCTTAGTAGCAGTACAAAAACGTTTATTTTAAAAACACATACAAATAGCTGTAACAGTCAGAAGCTGTTAGTTAGAGGACAGTGCAGTTCAATTCCCCAGGGTTCAGGAAGGGGAAGTAGATGTTCTCTGAGTTGTTGCACCATGAAGCACAGCTTCCTGCAAATTCTGGCACAGTCACCATAGGAACAAGAGCGTTTGGGGTAAGACAGGGGGCTCTGAGTTGAAAGAAGAGCAGTAAGGGTCAGACAGCAGGTTCTGACAGCCATGAGAGGACTGTTAACAACAGCTGTCCAACAGTAAGGTCAGGTGAGACCCCATAACCTCTCTCTGTGTCTACGAAGTAGAGACAAAGCAGCCAAATAGGACGAATAAAAGGCACCCACATGCAGCAGGCCTCTGTGTTTATTTAAAAAGTGGTGTAGAGTTACAGCATGTTTGTTATGGTGCGGAGGAGAGGGAGAAATGGAGCAGGAGGAGACGGCAGGTGTTTAGCAGGTTTTAGGAATGACATTCCTCCTGAAATAATTTAAGGTTTACTAAATTTGACACAGAGCGTGACGAGGCGTTGGTTGATAAGCAAGCAATGCAGGGAGAAACAGCCGAGGTGTGCTGCCCACTTCCCTCTCCGGGGAGAGTAGGATACAGCTCCACAGCTGTCGCAGGGCTGATCCCAGTGTAACTATCTGTGTTTGTGCACACCAGGTGAGTCATAGAGCTGCAACCACCTGCACGGAGCACATTAACACACAACACCAACCTCACAGCATCGGCCCCTTAGAGATCCTAGAAAACTGATTGATAGTAGTTCAGTCCTGTCAAGTCAGGGGGCGTTAGAGTTCAGCTGCAGAGTCTTGACATAGTAAATTAATTTGTTATAACAGAGGAAAGTAAAAAAAGTAAAATGAGCTGTGCCCATATTTTTTTGTTTATAAATATGTAACCTGTACTTCAAAATATACTGGTTCACAGTATACAGTATAATGTCAGTCGAAGAACTATTTAATTAGGTCCCTGGCTTCTTTGTGTTACACTGTAATAGTATACACTTGGTCTTTTGGACTGCAGCCCAATTTCAAGTTTCCATTTTGGCTCTCGACAGACAAGATTTTGGACAATCATTCCCAGAATGCACTCCACACAAAATAATCTTTTACTGTAAGCTAATGTAATGACAACTGCTCTAGTCTTTTCCCAATTACAAAGTGACCCCACCCTCCATGCACTTAATTTTAAGTTTAAATTAATGCATTATTAACTATTTACTTTTTTTGCATTACTTTATGTGCAGTTTGACGTCTGAATGACAGTTAGCTTTTATTCTATTGCATTCTTTTCTTTTCTATTTTTGCAGAGACAGTAGCAGATTATATTGGACTGTTTCTCTATTTTTCCACTTTTTGATGCAATGTCAACTGCTGCTGAGTCTCAACCACAGGCTGAGGGAGAAGTTGGGGGAAGGCAGGCTTTCCTTTTCACTCCGTCTCACCTTTTAACAGACAAACTAATTTAGTTAGCTTAAGTAAATCAGACTATAATCACACTGTTTCATTTTATTTTTTTTATTTTTTTGAAGAAAAATCTTGCATATTAAAAATGACAACGGTGTAATGACAAACTGTCAACATGTGTTTATTCCTGAAAGGAAGAGACTGGAGAATAAGGTGGAAAGGAAATTGTCTATTGTTTATTATTCTATTGTTTTTAATGTATTCCTATATATATATATATTATTGTGTGTAAACAAAAACGGTACAGTGGAGTTGGATGAGGGGGCTCTTTGGCCCAGTAAGCTAAATAGGCTAGGACAGCCACTGGATCATGACTCACGGTTGAAAAAAACAAATGAAACCATGACTGTTGTGAGACTTTTCATGAATGAGCGCTGGTGCACATGCCTGCAAACGTAAATATGAAACCCCTGAGGGGCGACATGTCCTATGTTTGTGTATTTGCAGTGATAACATCTGAGTTCCAGAGTCCTGCAGACCAGGACCTGCACTATAACCGTAGTACAACACTGTAGTACATGTTGTCCACACGCTTACCTTGACCTCTGCAGCTCCACGGCAGAGTTGGCTATCTGTCCACCCTCCAGGCAGTAGTTTTGGGAGGACTGTCTGGAATAGGAGGCAGGAATGATTCCCTGAGTGTAGGTCTGCAGTCTGCCTCTGGTCGAGGGAGGCACCGCGGAGAAAGGAGCGCTGACTGTCGAAGCCGTGAATGCGTCCACCTCCACGTCCGCAGCGGACGGGGCTGCTGAGGGAACCGTCCCAAAGCTGCCCCGACTGCCACCCAGCAGAGCCTGGTTCGCCAAGGCGAGCGCCTGTGCTGCAGTGGTGGCGGCGGCCCGCGCGGCCGCAGCCGGGGGCGGG